TGCCAAAATAAAATATTGATGATTTTTACTGTGGTTCATTGTGACTTAGATACACTACCTCAAGAACAGAAATGTGGGTGAGTGGAGACAATGGACGGTGTGACACATGAAATCACAACAATGATATATAATTGATCAGGGATTCAAGAGGGTGGGAGGGTGGAGGAGGGAGAGGGGGGGAAAAGAGCCAATCCCAAGGGCTCAAGTAGAAAGAAACTTTTGGAAATGTTGATGGCAACATATGTACAAGTGTGCTTAATACAATTGAATGATGGATTGATGTAAGATTTGTAAGAGTCCCCCAATAAAGTGATTCATTTAAAAATTTTAAAAAATGAACTATCTGTGTTCAAGACACTTTCTTAGGATTGGTCTCTGGGTCAGGTAAATCCATCTGATGCAGATTTAACTCTAATGGTCCTGTATGTGTGTTTATCCAAATACTGTGTTTTTTACAAGAACATTGGCAGAAAGTAAAGCTGTGGAGTTGCTGGTCTGCCTGTCCCCAAAGGGCGGGACTGGGAGTTAGGGCCCCTGTTGGCTTCTCCCTCCTGCAGGACTGGCCAGGTTTCCAAGCCCTCCCTCCTTCGGGACAATGCCCCTGGGTGTGGTCCCCGTGCCAACAGGAAATGCCTGGGCGGCTGTCAGTGAGGTCCTCCGGTTAGTTCTTATCAGCAAGCTCTGAACCCAGGCCAAAAATGCAATCTTTAACCCTTAGGCAGCTGTCAGGCCCCTGAAGCTAGAACCACGTGAGGGACTGGGGCCTGCTTTGTAAAGCGTCCTCTGGCCACTACCGGAAGAATTCGAGATGGGTCCTAATGGCAGGGAGGGTGTTGGCTAACTTAGGATGCATTGGTACAATCTGAAGTGTTCCCCACGAGAGGAAGTCCTGATGCCCGCCTTTGCTGCCCAGGCCGCTGGCTGCTTCTCCCCATCTCTCACCCTCTCCACAGTGCCTCTGCCATCTGCCTTTCTCTGCCTGTCTGTCAGGAGGGAGGGAGGGCCTTCGCAGGGCTGGCTGTGGCCTCTGCTCCAAACAAGCTTGCTCTCCAAAGCCCAGCTCAGGCATGATTTCTGAAAGTCTTACCCGACACCCCCACAGGCAAGTGAGATGTCTCCAAAGCACTTTAACCTTCCTCGACTCTAGTACACATCCCATTTTTATGGCCCCCGAAAATCCATTTATTGTACTCAGTAAATAACTTACTATGTGGCAGGCACTGAGCAAGGGGCTGAGGGCACAGGGGTGAGGGGCAACACCGGCTGGCACAGCCCGTCCAGAGACGGGTGAAAACGACAGTATTCTGCACCTGCGCTCGCTCACTCGAGGGCGAGAAGGGAGGCTGTCTGGTCTCAAGAAGATTTACAGCCTCAACAAACAGACCTTTTTACAGGTTTTTCTCTTTTTAAAACTTTTATCTATTTCTTTATTTTTTGTCATTGGTTTTTGTTGTTGTCGTTTTGTTTTCTTTTTGTCACTTTGTTTTACTATGTCTTGTTTTTTTGTACATATGATTATCTCTGCAGGTCTATCTAGATAAGACAGGCCGGGTGAACAGTCTGGAGGAGAAAACTACCGGACCGATGGTTCCGGAGGGACATGGGAGAGGGGGAGGGGGGGGAAAGGAGATGGTGTTGACCAACCCAGAGACAAGGAAACAACAAGTGATCCAAAATCAGTGGCAAGGAGGGTGTGAGAGGCCTGGCAGGGATTGATCAAGGGCAATGTAACCGAGAGGAATTACTGAAACCCAAACGAGGCTGAGCATGATAGTGGGACAAGAGGAAAGTAAAAGGAAATAGGGGAAAGAACCAGGAGGCAAAGGGCATTTATAGAGGTCTAAATACAGGCATGTACATATGTAAATATATTTATATATGACGATGGGGAAATAGATCTATGTACATATATTTATTTGCTAAGTATCCAGGTAGCCAACAAACATTGGGCCTCTACTCAAGTACTCCTTCAACATAAGAACACTTTGTTCTAATAACCTGGCATTCCATGATGCTTACCTTCTCCGACACAGTCGCTGAAGACAAAATGGGTACATATGCAAATGTGGTGAAGAAAGTTGATGGTGCCCGGCTATCAGAAGACATAGTGTCTGGGGTCTTAAAGGCCTAAAGGTAAATACTCAGCCATCTAGCTCAGAAGCAACAAAGCCCACATGGAAGCACACCAGCCTGTGTGATCATGAGGTGTTGATGGGATCAGCTATCAGCCATTAAAGAACAAAAACTCATATCATTGTGAATGAGGGGGAGTGTGGAGTGGAGACCCAAAGTCCATTTGTAGGCAACTGGACATTCCCTTACAGAAGGGTCAGAGGGAGGAGATGAGCCAGTCAGGGTGCAGTATAGCAACAATGAAACATAAAACCTTCCTCTAGTTCTTAAATGCTTCCTCCCCCACCACTATAGTGATCCCAATTCTACCTTACAAATCTGGCTGGACCAAAGGATGTACACTGGTACAAATAGGAACTGGAAACACAGGGAATCTAGGACAGATAAACCCCTCAGGACTATGAATGAGAGTAGAGATACAAGGAGGGGAAGGGGAAGGTGGGGTAGAAAGGAGGAACTGATCACAATGATCTACATATGGACAACAGAAAAATGGGTGAAGGGAGACGTCGGACAGTGTAAGACATGAAGAAATAATAATAATTTATAAATTATCAAGGGTTTGGGAGAGAGGGAGGGGGAAAATGAGGAGCTGATACCAAAGGCTCAAGTAGAAAGAAAATTTGAGAATGCTGATGGCAACAAGTGGACAAATGTGCTTGACACCATGGATGGATGGATGGATTGTGCTAAGAATTGTATGAGCCCCCAATAAAATGATTTATTGAAGAAGAAAAAAGAATTTTATGGTTGGGGGTCACCACAATATGAGGAACTGTGTTAAAGGGTTGCGGCATTAGGAAGGTTCAGAACCACTGCTCTAAGGGTTCTTGTGGAGTGCTATAGACTAGGGGTTGGGCTGCTAATGGCAAGGTTGGCAGTTCAAACCCACCAGCTGCTCCGAGGGAGAAAGATGAGGCTTTCGGCTCCCATAAAGATTTACAGCCTTGGAAACTCGACACAGGGTTGCTATGACTTACAGTTGACTTGATGGCAGTGGGTTTGGCTTGGGGTGGGTTTGTAGGGCTTCTTAGCTTGGGGTCCATTCTTCCATGGAACCCATAGCTGAATTTCAGGGGGTTCATAAATTCTTTAAGATCAATTGAGAATGCATGGGTGGGTGTGCATGCACATTTATATTAGTTAGAGGTAAGGTTTTCTACATATTCCCAAAGGGTCAAAGGAAAAGTTAAGAACAAATTACTTAAAAAAAAGAAAAGGTTGATGTATCTAAACTGGGTCGAAGGTGGGTGGAGAGGAAGGCAGCAACTGTTAAAAGTGGCCCAGCTTCGGAAGGCAGATGCTGAGCCCGAGGGTGGGAGAAGCCACAATGAAGACGAAATCAAGAAAACTGTGACTCTACAAGACAGATTGTGTCCAAAGATCCTGCCTTGGGGCCTGGTGGGGATGTGACACTCTATGGAGTGGGGCATCTCTTCGCGGCAGAGAGATTGTTTGGAGAGTAAATTATTTGGGAGAAACAGTGACGAAACACATCATCAGAGGAGTGAAGGAGCTAGGGAACTCCACGCCCATGTCCTTGGGAGTCAAGGGCAGAGATGACCACTTACAAACACATAGGTCACCCACCAGGACCCTCACAGGCCAGAAGGCAGGGATCCTGGATAGGAGTTCCCCCAATGCTGTAGACAGGAACTGAACTGGCAGGGCACCGTGGGCACTTATTGCTAAACTATGTGGCCTGGTGACATAAGGTTAGGTGTTGGGCTGTGATCCAATCACCAGCCAGCTCTGAGGGAGCAAAACAAGGCTTTCTACTCCCATAAAGAGTTCCAACCCGAGACACTCACAGGGGCAGTTCGACACTGTGCACTACAAGGTCGCTTTGAGTGTGAATCGACTCAAAGCCAGTATGTGGCCGGGAGTACATTTCCCCATGTGAAATCGATTTTTTCCTTTTCATTTGACCCTTGAATCTTGTCTTAATTGCTTTTCATTTTCTAGGACTTCATTTTACCCACTTTATTCTTTTTTATTTCGTTTGGCAACATATTTATTTTTGTGATGGTTTATTGAATATTTGTTCTGTCTCCTATTGGACTGTCATCTTTACATGGGCAGGCTCCATGTCTGTTTTTCCCATGTGTCTGAACCCTAGCACAACACCTAAGAAATGTTTCATTCCTTCTGTGAGCGGTGACAACTTACGAAAGAAGACTGGACCAGTAAAATGGTGCAGCCACTGGAAAACAGCCTGGCAGTTCTTCAAAAGGTTAAACACAAGAGGCACATAGGTCCCACTCTTCCCATGTATAGAAGAGAATTGAAAGCCTATGTCTGTATAAATACATGTATGTGAACATTATTCACAATAGCCCTAAGCAAACAAACCCCAAATTCGTGGCCATCAAGTCCACACCGACTCAGAGCGACCCTATAGAACAGGAGAAATGCGGCTGTGTGTTTCTGAGACTGTAACTCTTTACAGGAGGAGAAAACCTCATCTTTCTCCTGAGGAGTGGCTAGTAATTTTGAACTGCTGACCTGGCAGTTAGTAGCCCAACACATAAATGGAATCCAAATGTCCATAGCTGTTTTTTGTTTTTTTAACATTTTATTGTGGTTAGGGTGAAGGTTTACAGAGCAAATTAGTTCCCCATTCAATTTATACATATTTTATTTCATGATATTATTTGCGACCCCCCTCAATGCTTATTCCTCCTAAAGATTTTTAATTTCATTTGTAATGACTTCCAACTTTCCTAGATTCATACTTGGTGCATTCCAAGTTCCGATGATTACGTGATGTTTGCAGCTGTCTCTGCTCGTGTTGAGTGGTGTCCCACCAGCAAATGAAGGTCCTGACTGCTCCATCCACGTGCGCATGCTCGACTCCACTTTGAGAAGGTAACTAACTCTTCCTCATATGTTGACGGCCTTCCCACCTGAGGGGCTTATCTTCCGGCTCTGGCTCTGGCTGTGGCAGAGTTGTAGCTATTCATGTGGCGTAACTGACAATGTTTGATGTTACCCATAGGGTTTTCAGTGGGTAATTCCTCTGAAGGGAGCAGCCTTCAGAGTCTGTTCATAGTCTGGAAGCTCTGTCAACACCTGCGCACTTTGGGTGACCTGCTGGCATTTGAAAGACCGGTGCCATAGCTTCCAGCATCACAGCAACACACAAGCCACCACAGTACGACAAACTGACAGACAAGGGATGGATGTCCTGAATAGTCACGGAATGATACAATTTTAAAAGGTGAATTGTGTGGTACATGAATGATATAGCCATATCCATAAAAGCTCGTATTTTAAGGAGTAGAACTCAAAGGAAATTATACAGCTGGGTCCGGCTTTAAGCAGACTTAAAAACTGACAGGAGCCCTGGTGGCATCTAACTCAAAGATTGGTCTTTAGGACCCATGGGGGAAAGACTTCGCGATCTGCTTCCTATAAAGACAGCCAAGAAAACCGTGCAGGGCAGTTCTATTCCGTTCGCCACATGGTGTCCTTGTGAATGGAAAACGACTGGAGGGCACCCCACAACATTAAAATCGATCCGAAAATTCAAATATGATGATTAATGTCTTCAAAACAAACTTGTGTCGCCAGAAGACACGTAGCTGGATGGGGAGGGAAGGATTCTCAAGACAAGCAGGCTTCTTGGTGGCGGACTGTGGGTTAGGGTGACATCTGGACCCCTTTCGGAGGGAGACTGAGTGGGGCACAGAGAAGAGAGCGGAAGATTCGTGGGGTGTGTTCGCCAGCACGTGTCTTCCTTCCTTCGCATTCTTGAAAGGAGTTGGGGCCGGCCCCCCCCGCATCTCGACACCCACCCCCCGAGCCCACGCACAGCACCGGGCGCCAAGATGTGTAGTCTTGGGCTCAGGCAAGATGAGTTACTGCAGCACAAAGTGCCGGACGGAGCCCCGGCCGCCGCTCCGCC